ACTCTACAGTTACATGAGCAACATTGAGGTTACTAGACTCCTCCCATCATCAAGTCCCCACCACATACCCCATTACAGTCACTGTCCATCAGCATAGTAAGATGCTATAGAGTCACTACTTGTCTCCTCTGGGTTACACTGCCTTCCCCATGCCCCACCCCCTACATCATGTGTGCTGATCATAATGCCCCTTATTCCTCTTCTCCCTCCCTTCCCACTCACCTGCCCCCCAGCCCCTTTCCCTTTGGCAACTGTTAGTCCATTCTTGGGTTCTGTGAGTCTGCTGCTGTTTTGTTCCTTCAGATTTGCTTTGTTCTTATGCTCCAAAGATGAGTGAAATCATTTGGTACTTGTCTTTCTCTGCCTGGCTTATTTCACTGAGCATAATACCCTCTAGCTCCATCCATGTTACCGCAAATGGTAGGATTTGTTTTCTTCTTATGGCTGAATAATATTCCATTATGTACATGTACCGCATCTTCATCCATTCATCTACTGGTAGACACTTAGGTTGCTTTCATTTCTCGACTATTGTAAATAGTGCTGTGATAAACATAGGGGTGCATCTGTCTTTTTCAAACTGGGCTGCTGCATTCTTAGGGTAAATTCCCAGGAGTGGAATTCCTGGGCCAAATGGTATTTCTATTTTTAGTTTTTTGAGGAACCTCCCCTCCATACTGCTTTCCACAATGGTTGAACTAGCTTACATTCCCACCAGCAGTGTACGAGAGTTCCCCTTTCTCTGCATCCTCACCAGCATTTGTTGTTCTTAGTCTTTTTGATGCTGGCCATCCTTACTGGTATGAGGTGATATCTCATTGTGGTTTTAATTTCCATTTCCCTGATAATTAGCGATGTGGAGCATCTTTTCATGTGCCTGTTGGCCATCTGAATTTCTTTTTTGGAGAAGTGTCTGTTCATATCCTCTGCCCATTTTTTAATAGGGTTATTTGCTTTTTGGTTGTTGAGGCGTGTTGAGTTCTTTATATATTTGGGGTGTTAACCCCTTGTCGGATATGTCATTTACAAATATATTCTCCCGTACTCCCATAGGCTTCTTACCTGCCTCCTTCCCTCCCTCAGCCCCACTACATGCATGAACACTGGTGCCCCAGCCCCGATACACCCCTTTTCAGACTTTTTGTCTCTCAGAGGAGATGTACTACCTACTGGGTAGGACATCCCAGGACCTTATCACAAGTCTGCTGCTCTTCAGACAGCATCATACAGAGTCATCCTGGAGCTGGGCGGGTATGTATTTTGCAGAATCCTTTGAAAATGAAGAAGAGGCTAGGAAGCCAGCAAGCAAATCCATTTGGAGTGGTCCAGGGTATGGGTTTTCTTTTCCTTTCTACCTTTTGTTTTGACACTTTCCTCTGCTAGCATTTTTAGATCAACCTCATTCTTTTTAATGACTGCATCATATTCCTCAGAATTAAAGTTGTCCTGGTTGTTTTCAGTTGCCTGCGGTTGTGGGAACATTAAAGTTGTTTTCACTTCTGCCTTAGGAACAGTGTTTCAAGGAATGCCCTTGAACATGGCTCACGGAGCATTTCTCTAGAATAGACGTGCAGTGGTTAGAGGATATGTACATTTACGTATATTTAAAATTTTATGAGATCTGCCAGAGTGTCTAGTTAATGTTACCATCCCAGGAAAAATGTGTTGCATTATGGTGTCATCATCCTGTATCTTGCATAAGAAGGTCTTCTCATTTGTCCCCCTGTGAAAAAACTTTTTCAATTCTGTTGGTGCCACCTGAATGGTCTGCTTTGTTTTCACACCTGCTGATCACTGGTCCACATGTCTGCTCCCACACTCCTGCTGTCACCTTTTGTGTGTGTTTGTACTTTTTTTTTAATTGGGGTAAAATATATATAAAGCAAAACTTGTCCTTTCAACCATTTTCAAGTGGCAGTAATTGCATTCATAATGTTTTGCAACAGTCACCACTATTTCCAAAGTTTTTCATCAGCCTCAACAGGAACTCTGCTTATTACACAATAGCTCCTTGTCCCTCCTTCTCCCGTCCCCTGTTAACATCTAACTTACTTTCTGTCTCTATGAATTCGCATATTCTGGATATTCATATAAATAGAACCATACAATGTTTATCTTTTTGTGTCTGGCTTATTTTACTTAGCATAATGTTTTCAAGATTCATCTACTCTGAGTTGTGCATCACCACTTCATTACTTATTACAACTGAATAATATTCCATTGTACACATACACCACGCTTTGTTCACCTGTTCATCTGTTGACACTTGGGTTGTTCTCACCTGCTGGCTATTGTGAATGATGCAGCTGTGAATGCTGGCGTACAGGCACCTGTTTGAGTCCCTGTTCTCAGTTCTCTTGGGTATATAGCTAGACATGAACTGCTGTGTCCTGTGGAAATTCTGTGCTTTATTTTTTGAGGAGTCACCAAACTCTTTTCCACAGTGGCTGCTGAGTGTTGTTGCATCTCCTTCACTGTTAGTAGAAATCCTGTCCCTGAGGCCTGCTCTTCCTCCAGTTCTGTGTTTATCTCCCCCAGGTACCCCTCTTCCCCTGGTTCCCCTGGAACCAAGCCCAGAACCTGGCACAGGGCCTGTACTAAGTACAGGTGGGCCTGGGCAGGTGTGTGGATGGACAGATGAACTCCAACCACTGGAAGATGGAGATTTTTCCTGACTGTATATCAGGACAGCAAGAAACAGTATGGTGCTGTGGAGAAACCCTGCAGCCATATTTGGTGAAAGAATCCAACAAGAGACATGAATTCTGTCTCTTAGACAAGCCCTTAGTTTCTCTGTCTCATTTGGCTCATCTGTAAAGGCAGTTGCCCTCATAAGGTGTTGAGACATGAGATCTGGGTGCAAAAGCCCTTTGGAAAGCCAAAGGCACCTGTGGGTGCTAGGGATTGCAGAAGCCTGTATGTGCCCCAGCAATCAGAAGAGGGCCTGGCAGACGGGTGAGATGATTTCTTGCATGCATTCATTCACACATTCAGCTGTTATTATTCAAATGCCTGCTCTGTGCCAGGCACTGTTCTGGAGGCTGGGACTCAGCTGTGAACAGGAGAGAGAAAAAAGCCCTGGCTTCATCAGTCAGAGCAGCAAGTCCCCAGTCCTGACTCCCTCCCATTCTCCTGGCTCCAATTCTAGACTTTTTTTTAACAGAAAGCAAGAAGTGCTGGTGAAGAGCTTGTATTTTAAGGAGTATCTCCAGCTTTGAGGAGAAAATCAAAGTTTAAACTGAAGAACAAAGAACAGGCCAGGTACTTTGTAAGTGAAGCAGCTTGAAACTCCAGGAGGGGGGAGCCATTTTGGGGGGTTTCTGTATGAGGGCCCAGGAGAGAAGATTCAGGGTACTCCCCCTGCTGCTCCCTTCCCAGGAACAATAAAAGCTGTGGCCTCCGAACTTCTTCTTGCAGGACTTTGGGGTTGGGGGACTGTGAGCAGGCTGTCTGCAATACCAGGTCCAACTAGGAATGGTGCCAGGTGACAGCTTGGCCCACTTTGGCCCCACTGGGAGAAAGAGGTCTGCTTCTTCAGTTTGGTCTCTGAGCCCTGTCCCCAGGAGCCCTCCAAGGATCCCAGGAGCTGAGGCCACTGAGCTCCCATCCCATGCACTGGATGTCAGTCATCACTTTTAATCCTCTCCATGGCCCTTGATCATCTTGATAAAACAGGCTCAGGGCAGGTAAGGACCATGGTCACACAGTGACGTATAATAGATCCAGAATCCTTGCTGTTACCAGGGTACCTGTCAAGCCAGGTTCTAGGAGCCAGCCGAGGGGAGGAACAGGCAAGGCTCATGGGAGGAAAGTTGGCAAGAAACTTTATATAATAAAACCTGTTGTACTCACAAGCACAGATTTTATTATTTATTAATACACTTATCAAGAAAGAGAGCTCGCTTTTTGGAGGGTCAGAAAACGTTATGGGCATAATAACCTCCCAAATGCTTTCACAGATGTTACTCTTACTTTCATCCTTGCAACAACCTCCTGTGAGAGTGGCATTTTTATACCGATTTTATGGACAGAGAAACAGGCTCACAGAGTGTAAGCCGCCTGGATTGTACTGCCAGTGTGTGTGTGAGACGCTTGATGTGTGCAGGGAGGTCTGGCAGTTGTGGACAGCAGCCTTATCAAGGGCTTGCTTCATTGCAGATTCTCAAAACAGAGGTGACCCCAGCCCGGGGGAAGGGCAGGAATGCCACAGCTTACTGAGGTCCACAGTTGATTTTTCCAAACCCTTACTACTCAAATCATGTTTTCTAGTGAATACAAATGACGTATATGTTATTTAACAGTCTTTTCTCTAGCACATGAAATAAGCTTTGCCTCCATACTGTTGCCATTTATTAAAGGGATTGTCCTCTCTACTGATGTCATATATTTAGGAATGGTGGAATTTTTCCTGTGCATAGGCTTCAAGAGTTCCGTTCAAAGTTTGGAAGAACTGCTTGCCCTGGGCTGGGCTTAGAATGAGACCAGATTCCTGCCCTAAAGGGTCCAGGTAATCCCACCACACAGAAATGTGCAAGAAATGCTGTGGGGAAGGTAACCCTGCCTGGGAAGAAGAGGTGGTAAGCATGTGTGTGTCTCTTTAGGGAGAGAGAAACAGAGAGGGACAGACGCGGGCTTGTAGAGGTGGGGCTGGCTTGTGCAAAGGCCCTGTGGCAGAAGGCCTGCAGGATGAGGCTGGGGGGAGCAACAAGCCAGAGGATGGCCTTCAGGATCTTCCCTTGAAAGCTTTGGGTGGGTGTCTTTTGAGGAGGGGCTGACCTGCATGTGTTTCTGAATGATTTCTCAAAGTGGCAGTTGGGGAGTCTGGAGGGGAGATCTTTGTGCCCAGCATGTACCATGACAGAAGTGGACCCTGGCCTGAGAGTCTCTGCTGAGGCCTGCTGGGCACTCGGCCTGGGGGGATTTCAGAGCAAAGGAACAACCCTGAGGGAGGTAAACAGGGTGGGAAATAGTGGGCTTCAGACCTCCTTAACCTGTGGCAGCCGCTTGAAGGCCACAGGCAGTGAGGGCTGTGGGCCCAGCTCCTCTCCTGGGGCCTCCTCTGCCAAGGCCCTGCTGAATGTTCTCCCTGCACGTGTGTGCCCCTCTTGGAACACCTTTGTCTGTCACTTCCTGCAGGAAGGTGTCCCTGGCCTCTGTTCCTCCCTGAGCCCACCCCAGCCCTTCTTGGTGCTCCTTGGACCCCTACGCATCTCCTTGTGCAGGTAACGCCCCCATGTCCCGAAATGATCTGAGGGCTGGGACCCTGGCTTTGTTCCTCTCAGTAGTCAGAGTACCTGGTGCAATGCACACAGTAGACACTCAATAAAGGTTTACTGGATGGACCTAGAGGGGTGAGGTCAGTAAGGATTGGGTTAATATCAGAGGGGTGTCAAGGGCAGAAGGAGCAGCGAGGCAGGTGGGTTGGGAAAGGGGCTGCTTGGGGACAGCCAATGCAATGAGTGACAGCTGGCAGAGAGGCTAGATTCTAGAGGGGCCCGGATCTGATTCAGTGGGCAGCCAGAGAAACAGAACACATACACCAATATCAGTAGAGAGGAGGTACTGATTTATTACAAGGAATTGGCTCATGTAGTCATCTGCAAGCTGGAGACCCATGCCAGCCAGTGGTGCGATTCCATGGTGCGAGGCCTTAGGATTGGGTAGCTGATGGTGTCAGTGCCAGTCTGAGGGCAGGAGAGAACCTGTGTCCTAGCTCAGGCAGGCAGAAAGAGAACAGGATTCTCCTTTCCTCACTTTCCTGCTGTCCAGGCCCTCAGTGTTGAATGATGTCCACCCACACTGGGGAGGGCAGTCTTCTTTGCTCAGTCTGCCAATTCAAATGCTCATCTGGTCCAGAAACACCCACACAGGCACACCCAGAAATAATGTTTAGCCAAATATCTGGGTGCCTTGTCACCTGATAAGCATGACACATATAATTAGCCATCACACCAAGGTAGGTGACTTCAGAGTCAACTAACATTACCCCACACCTCTGAGCTTTGCTTCGTCTCCCGAGAGTGGGAATTAAGCTGTCACAGGAGGAAAAACTGTGTCTTGGCATTTACAAAGCAGCAGAGCCACCTGGACACCCCCCTTGGCAGGTGGCGACTTGTGAACACAACTTGCTCTGACTTTACCTCTTTTCCACCCTCAGACCTCCTCTGGCTTTTATCTTCCTACTGTGTCCTACATCAGTATGGTTTTTAATGGTTATTTTTAAATGATGATTATTAAGTGATAATTTATTACGAACAGTAACAATTGACATACGTTGGTGCTTTAATAAAAACGTCAGCTAATACATACACTAAGTGTACCAAGAGTCCTTCTAAGTGTTTTACATACATGAACTAGCTTTGTTTATAGTTGGGGATATTGAGGCACAGAGAGGTTGACTGACCTGCCTGAGGCCATATAGCAAGAAAAAGCTAGCAGTAGAGCTTGAACCTGGGCTAGGATTCTGACTTAACAGCCTCTCCTCCTTCAGCCTCCCTAGTTGGCCTTCAGAATCCTGGAGTATTTTTGCTGTGGTCGGGTCCTTGAAGACTGTCTCATCTCTTCTCACAAAGGCTCCCTGCTCACAGATGCCCCCCGGCCCTTTCCTCCTATGTGAGCAGCTACCTCCTGCTGAATGGTTTTTGTACAGAGCCTATGTTGTGACTCTTATATGAAGAAATGTGTGGGATGAATAACCATCTAAAAATAACTCAAGATCGATTTTTTTGCGGGGGTGGGGGGAGGGCTGTGTTTTCTTTCTCTACCCTCCTCTCCTTCCTTCTGCTCCCAAGGCCTATAAATTGCTGGTTGACAGCTGGGCCAGGCTGACTTCCTGTAAGGCTGCAGTAACATGGAATTAGCCTGGCTGCCGCCCTCTCCAGCACAGAAATGCCAGTGGTTGGTCACTACAGACATCTGAGTTGATACCTCCTTCCCTGGGACAAGTCTTTGCTTATGAGATAACTGGGCGGAGACAGATACCCAGACTTGTCCTACTGGGGAGGAGCCAGTGAGTGGCTGGCAGTTAATGGGCTGGGCCATCTGAGGGTGCCCAAAATTCCTGCCTCCAGGGAGGAGCCAGGCAGGCAAGGGCAGAGAGCTCTGGCAGCCTGCACCCCTGCATGGAGGTTTCCAAGCTGTCTGCTGACTCAGGGACTGGCTGAGTGGCTCCCTTCCGTCTCGCTGCCTCCAATGGGCCCCTCACCCTCACTGGCCACCCACAGCCTGCCCGGAGAGGCTTTAGAAATCTAGCAGATCTTTGCTGCCCAGAACCTGCCAGCTAAAAGTGGTATCCTAAGATCAGGCCACTTTTCTTCCTCAGTGGGTCTAGGCATTTCCGTGTAGCTCAGCCATGCCCAGGGGCTCTTCCCTCTGTGATGTCAAATGTGCAGAAAGGGCCTACGGACACCCATGTTTAATGAGGGGGTGGGCTGGGGAGGGGACAGTGCGAGGAAGGGAAAGAAATCTAAGGGCCAAAAATTCAGAGGTTCCCTACTCACACTGAGCCTTTGGCCAAGTGGTGGAAAATTCCAGGTGGAAGCTTGGAAATTCCCAGTGTAGGAGCAATGGTGAGGAAGTACCACACTTCCTTGCTGCCCACACACCTCAGCCTCAGCCAGGAGGCTCCTGAACTCTCCTGTGGTTGCTCAGTGTCCCCAATTGTGGCTGCTCATTAGCATCTCCTGGGAGCTTTAAAATGCTGATCCCCCCAGGCTTCCCTTGTGCCAGTCACGTCAGCATCCCTTCAGCGGGGCCCAGGCCTGCCAGGTGATGGGTGCGTGCAGCTGGGCCTGGGAGCCACCATGACAGCAGTAACCTGTTTTCCTCTACCCTCTGCCTTGCTTCTTAACTTCTGATTTTTCAAATTCAGAGGTGGGCATTGCCGTGCCTGGCACTGTCCTACATGACACGGGCTCGGTAAACAGTGTTCAAGCTTGCTCTGCCATTGAGGAGGAGTGGGGGGAGGATTTAGGCCACACTCCAAGGGCTTAGAAGCTTTTGAAAGCGCTTTTCTATGACTTCATTAAGAAGTGTCTCATAAGCACTGAAGGAAATACAGCAGTTTGAAAGTTGTACTTAAGGTCCTGAAGGGATTTAAAAACAAGTGTCTGGGCCCATAGCCAGCAGAAGGGTCTGTCCTCTGAGAGCTCTGCTGCCTCCACCTGGGCCTGGGTTCTTGTCCTCTGGACCAAGTGGGGGTCCCAAAGGCCCCCCAACTACCTCCCTTGACTCCCAGGTGACTCCTGAGCCTGTGTCTCTGGACCCCCTGCCCAGGCTGCAGTGTGGCGGCAACGTGCCCCTGCACATGGCCAACCAGCAATGCAGACTGAAGGCAGTGCAGACCAGGCTCCCCCACACTGCCCTGGGAAACCAGCCAGTGTCCTGACTGCTCCCAGCAGCACCACCTCCACCCAGTCCCCAAGAGCAGGTCTGATCTTCCTCTGCCCCACCTCCATCCCTGCAGCAGGTCTTGCCTCTCCCCGTTCCCTTCTTGGAGCCGGGCCGCAGTGCAGGCTCCTGTCTTCTTGGCTCGCCACTGTTGCCCCTGATAGCCTGCAGCTTCCAGCCTGGCTCCTCTCCGGAGCCTCCCAGGCACTACTTTCCAGGGGGCCTCAAACACAGCTGGGCATGAGAAAGTCTACAGGCTGGGGGCAGCCCAGGAGCCACCCTTCGGCCCACCCTCGGCTGCTAGACTCCTAGGACACTGGCCAAACGCTCCAGCCAGCTCCAGCCCGAGCTCTGAATGTGGAAGGCACTCAGTCCTGCTTTACCTCTTGAGTCCAGACTCAGCTCTTCCTCCCCAGTGACCAGTCTGGCTTTCTGTTGCCTCCCTGTGAGCCTAAATGTTCTAGCTGGAACTCCCTCTCCCTCCCCATGTATCTGCTCAGAGAGATGGCTCTAGTTCCAGCCCAGAATGCACTTGGCCTAGTACCCTGTCCACACTGGGTCACACTGCCACCTGTGGTCTGTCCGGAGCCTGTCTTCCTGCACACGCCCTGCACTACCTTCCTGGCCTCCTGTCTCCCTTCACCACCCTGTTCATATACTGCTTTCCTAGGAGTGCACAGAAGTAAAGTGGCCCATGGAAGTGCTGATGGCACCTTCCTACATGAGGGCCTGGTGCCGTCCCTGTCTGTTAAGACAAGCCCATGGCTGCCAGGCAGTAGGGGCCTGGTAACTGCCTCGCACTGCCTGGCCCATCTTGTCCTTGTGAGTTGCCTGAGAACAATGGATGCAATTCTGATTTTCTTGATTTGAAACTATTGTTACACACACACACGCACACACACACTCATTCATCCTTTATGTGTACCCATTTTCTCTGAAGGGAAGCACATTCCGGGATGGCTTAACTGCATCAGCTAAAGCCCTGAAGGGATCCACAGATAAGGACTAAAAACAATTCTAGATTCTGAGGTCCATGAATGAAAAAACCAGGGTTCAGGCATATGGGCTCATGCATACTTAGAGTAAGAAGGCAGCCCGGTCCCCCCAACCTTCTCTGACCAGGAGGGTACATGTAATGGGCTGCACTCATGGGCTCCTGGGGATGTGCCCCCTTGCCATCCTTTGTCATGGAAGGGGCCAGATGATTTCAGAGCATTTGACCTTTCCCAGCTCTAAATGGCACTGCAAGCCTCATCTCATTTCTTCTTTATGTAGCAGCTTCCAGGGGTCCCCAGAAACAGCTCTGCTACCCCAGTGGTGCTCAGAGAGTGCTCTGGGGCAGACATGTCCCAGCTGATGGAGACGCTCCTGTGACCTTGCCCTAGAAGATTGGTAGTCTGTCAGTGGACAGTGATCTGAGCCCCTGCCACGCCCAAGTTTACCCTGAGAAGGTGAGTGCTGGAAAGGGGGGAAAGCAAGGATCTGCAGGTGGACAGAGTGTAGTGGTCACATCTGTAGGATCTTGGGAGGTCACCAGCCTCTCTGTAGCTCCACATCCATGTCTGTAGAGTGAGCATGGTGAGCTGGGAGGATCAGAAAGGACAATGTAGGCAGAACACTGGGTATAGCACCTGGCATAGTGCAGGTGAGTTCCTGCTCCTGAGTACTCCATGATGGGCAAAACATTGTGCAGATGTTCATCAGGGCTCAACAGCACACTGTGATCTTAATTCAATAATTAAGCCCTTACTGAGTGTCT